AGATTAATACATGTGAAAGAACTGCAGACAGCTTCCAACCCCGCACGGAGAGAAAGAAAAGAGGGGGACTTTTCTATAACAAAGTTCGGGACTGTATCCAGGGGAAAGATCCTTCCTCTAATAACAGATTCAGGGAGGAATATTAATGGAGTGACTCCAGTTTTGAACTTTTGCCCCGTGGTCTGTCTTTGCTCCCTTGACTCGGAGCTGGCTCCTTTCTGAAGCGTGGAGGGGAGGAAGGAGCAGGAGAGGGGCCGGGAGAGAGGGAGGAGGAGAAGGGAAGAAGGAAAGGGAAGAAAGTGCAAGCAGAAAAGAGAAATAAGGAAAGAAGGAAGGAGGGGGAAAAGAGAAAAAGAGGGAGATTGGGAAAGACAAAGCAAAAGAAAGAACAAGAGTGGGAGAAAGGAATGGGAGAAGAGAAAGAACAGGGAGAAGAGAGAAAGGAAAGAGAAAGCCGAGGGGAGGCAGCAGGAGGGCTGTGGCCACGGCACAGAGATGCACGCCGAGCTCCGTGCTCCCGAGCAGGACTTGGCTGTCCCTACTGCACCTACAGGGCCGGGGCTCAGCGCTCACCTTTGAGGCTGGAGGTGCCGACGGCGGGCACAGCAGGGCAGGAGGACTGGGCGAAGCACTTGAAGGCTGTCTGCTCGTTGGACGATTCGTCCGAAGTGGGATTTTCTTTTTTCTGCCTCTCGTCGTACACCCGCATGGACTGCAGGGTCAGCTGCTTCCTGCCGGGCACACGGAGCTGCTGGGAGAGCGGCACCCTGCCCCCCCACCCCAGGCCCCCAACACCCCATAGGGATGTCCTCTAAGGGGATCCCACGTCCCTTAGAGACCCCATGGGTGGGGTGTGCGGGGGGACAGGGGCCAGGGGCTCGGGGGAACGCGCTGCTCGCAGGCAGAGCCAAGAGCTTGGCTGCTAATGAGAGGAGATTTCTTGGAAGCTGTTAGCAGCAATCCTGAGTACGGCAGATATTAAAGAATAGGAAGGGGGGCGGGGGGGGAGGGGTGGCAGAGGGAACCGTTCCCTGGAGATTAGCTTTTAAAACGAGAGGATGTTCCAGAGATATGAGCCATCTTAATGGTTGCTAAGATTGCTAGGAAGTGGTTATTTTGTTAGGCACTTTATGTAATCTTTTCACCAACAATTAACCCGGAGTAAAATCTATTTATATTTAGAGAGAAATTAGAAATCATTTCCGTCCTGTGGCTCCAGCATTGGCTTTATTTTCACACTGACGGACAAGAGGAGCTGGTGTGTGTGCATGTGTGGTATGCTGGGCTGAGTGCTGGGCATGGAGAAAGGCCTCTTGTTTAACATTACAACTCCCCTTCTCCCTCTTTTTTTTTTTTTTTTTTTTTTTTTT